AAGCTGTTTCTCTTTATTATAAAGTCATTTCTTCACTATTGCACATACAAATGCAGAAGTCTGGTTATGTAGAATTTTTTTTTTTTTTTTTTGAGACAGTTTCGCTCTTGTCACCCAGGCTGAAGTGCAATGATGTGATCTCGGCTCACTGCAATATCCTCCTCCTGCGTTCAAGCAATTCTCCTCGTCTCAGCCTCCTGAGTAGCTGGGATTACAGGTGGGCGTACCACCACAGCCGGCTAATTTTTATATTTTTAGTAGAGACAGGATTTTACCATGTTGGCCAGGCTGGTCTCAACTCCTGACCTCAAGCGATCTGTCCGCCTTGGCCTCCCAAAGTGCTGGGATTATAGGTGAGAGCCACCGCACCCGGCCTAGTTATGTAGAATTTAACCCAATATATGGGTTAGAAAAAACAGACTGTGTTCTTTGGGAAAAGTTACCTCGGCTTTCTCTGTTTTTAATACATTAAAATATTTCCAAATATAAATAGAGAATACAAAAAGAAATCGGAACACAGTTACCCACAAAAGTAGATTATTCTCTTTAGAATATAGAGAAAATATTATTTTGGTTTCAAAAAGTTGGTGTTGAATGGGTTGGCAATTGGTCACTGTCCTAACTTGTTTGAGGTCTGATGACCTGTTTGGGGATAGAGTGGTCATTTTAGTTTTTGTTTTTTTTTAAGTGGTTTGAGGCTAAACATAAATCTTAAGTCCAACCCATGAGTGTGGGAGACCCTAAAATATTCCAGAAATAACTCAGCTGCCTCTCCCTCTCCCTCTCCCCAAATTAAGGTGATCCACAAGAGCACTAGGGTACTCAATCACGTGAAATCTCTTCTTGGAGGGCATGCGCCTCTCATTGTTGAGGGTCTGTTGACTGGCAGCCAAGCAGAACCGTGTTCTTCCTGATATCCTGCATCAGCTCTTAATTCCCTTGACTTGAGGTCTGTAGATTGCAGTGGAAATGTTAAGAATCCTAGGAAAGGTGATACATTAAGCTCCTCCTGTATTAAGTTTATTAGGTCCTTTCCTGAGAGGAGATTACTTAAGTGGTTAAAGGTCTCAAAATTTACAGACAGGTTTGCCAAGCGTCAGCCTTAAACCCAAGTTGTCCTTGGTGATGGCTGTGCAGAAATGTTGCTCCTACTGAAGCCACTATGAGCAACTGCTTCTCGTCTACTACTTCTAGAAAAATGATGGCAGTGGCAATGGGAAAGAGCAAGGGGCAAGTGAAGTTGCCCATGGCAAGAATGTCAGAGCTAGAGCCAGGTGCAGTGGCTCACACCTGTAATCCCAGCACTTTGGGAGGTGGGCAGATCACCTGAGGTCAGGAGTTCGAGACCAGCCTGGCCAACATCTTTAGTAGAGGTGAGACACCATCTCTACTAAAAATACAAAAAAAAAAAGAAAAAAAAAAAAACTAGCCAGGCGTGGTGGCAGGCGCCTGTAATGCCAGTTACTTGGGAAGCTAAGGTAGGAAAATCACTTGAACCCAAGAGGCGAAGGTTGCAGTAAGCTGAGAATGCACCGTTGCACTCCAGCCTGAGTGATGAGTGAAACTCCATCTCAAAAAAAAAAAAAAAGTCAGAGCTACGTCAATGGGCAGAGATTGTAGTTCGTTTTGCATCTGCATCCCTAAACCTGTCATGTCCCCCTCTGCACAGGGCTGGACAGCCAGCTGCACCTGATCTGTCTAACTGCTTAGTAGAGCCTTTTGGGCTACACTTTAACCCATTCCATTCTTCATTTATTAAAGGCTTCAATTGGAATGAGCCAGGCCCAAAGATTTACCTTTGGAGAAGAGAGATGAAGTCCTGGTAAGACTTCCTAGGTCTATGTGAATCTGCTCGTTGAGGCTGAGTTGTCTCTGTCCACTTGTGGTTGGTATTTCCAGAAATGATTGAATTCTTTTCTTCCCATTTAGAAGTTTAACTGTTTGTCTGTGGTCTCATGTTGGGATTGGAAAGCCAGACGTTTTTGCTGCTTCTCGTTTCTCTAGGTCACATTTCTGTTGTAAAGCCATTTTTCTTGTGAGGTGGTAAAAAATCTCCATAAACTGTCTTACTTTGCTTAGTAGAATGTCTGTATAGTAGTAATGGCAGTGCCTTACATATGTAGAGCATTTTATAGTTTTCAAAGCATTTCCACGTATATTATCTCACTGTGTAATGTTGTCCTGGGTGTTCTATCTTAAGCAACTTGAATATTTTTCTTTTTTCTCCAACCACTTTTGAGGCTACTACACATGGCTGGTTTACTTTTACCTTTCATATTATTTCCCCAATGGGTTATAAGTGGCAAAGGAATTTTTCAAAGAACAATAAAAGCATCTATAAGTGATCCTGTTTCCTGATGGCAAAGTGAAGATAACCCGGATGCTCTTTATAAATCGTCCCTGAGAATTAGTTCCAGTTCCTTGGATTCACATGATCAGTGGAAGTACCAAAAATAGTTTATTGTAATGATGGTACCTACCCCTTCCTTTTAAATCAGTAAAATACCTCCTAGATTGGGGGAAACTGCAACTCAGAGCCATGTAGTAGTTTTGTGTGTGTTCTGTTTTTGTTTTTTTTGTTTTTTTTTTTTTGAGACGGAGTTTCGCTCTCATTACCCAGGCTGGAGTGCAATGGCGCGATCTCGGCTCACCGCAGCCTCCGCCTCCTGGGTTCAGGCAATTCTCCTGCCTCAGCCTCCTGAGTAGCTGGGATTACAGGCACGCGCCACCATGCCCAGCTGATTTTTTGTATTTTTAGTAGAGATGGGGTTTCACCATGTTGACCAGGATGGTCTCGATCTCTTGACCTTGTGATCCACCCGCCTTGGCCTCCCAAAGTGCTGGGATTACAGGCGTGAGCCACCGCGCCCGGCCGTGTTCTGTTTTTCATCCTTGTGCCTAGAATTTTTGTATTGGTATTATTCATCACCTGGTGAAATTGTAACTTCATTAGCACCCTTTTCCCCCCTAGAATTATGTGGTTATACAGTATGTTACTTGTGAAATAGAAGGTGCTTTAGGTTAAAGCCTACAAGGTGTCTCTGTAAATTGTTTTTTAATGGGCACAATGGCTTATGCCTATAATCCCAGCACTTTGGGATGCCAAGGCAGGACAATCACTTGAGACCAGGAGTTCAAGACCAGTCTGGGCAATGTAGCAAGACTGCATCTCCACAATTTTTTTTTTAATTGGCCAGGCATGGTGGTATATACTTGTAGTCCCAGCTACATGGAAGGCTGAGGTGGCAGAATCACTTGAGCCTAGGAGTTAGAGGTTATGGTGAGCTATGATCACGCCACTATACTCTAGCCTGGGTGATAGCAAAATCCCGTCTCTAAAAAATAAAATAAATTCTTTAGAGCATTTTAGAGACTCCTTTAAGGTTCATTAGGGCAGACCGAGTAATTCCTTGAACTAACTTCTCATTGCCCTACTCATCCCATATCCTGTCTGAATCATTCCATCACCAGATTCTGGGTGCACCACAGAGACCTAGGTAATGACTTAGAGTAATACAAGCCATAGGATGTCAGGACTGGGAGGGACCAAGCAAGTTGCTGTCAACCCCTCTTACCCTTGCACTCTCCCTTATACCATCCTTGAGTGATAAACGAACCTTGGCCCTTACCTCCTAAGGGAATGGAAAAGTATCCATTTTCTTGAGCCCAAATCTATCTCCCTGTAGCTTCTACCTAATTCAACAAACACTGAGTGCCTACCATGCAGCAGGCACTATTCTAGGCACTGAGGGTACATCAGTGAACAGACAGACAAAATAAAGCTCTTACGGATATCTATCTCCTGGAGTTATAGAAGACAAGCCAAATAATTTTTCTGCACTGAAGCCCTTCAGAAACTTAAAGACTGTGCTCTTGTTCTTCTGGGTCTTCACGTCAAGCTAATATTCCCATTTAACTCAGTGGAATACGGCATCATGTCCTCTCGCGAAGTGGATTAATTGTCTTTGGATGCATTCTAGTTTTTTATATTTAATTGAATTGATTTTTAGTAGATTGATTTTTCAGAAAGTTTTTTTGTAATAAAGGTAGTAAATACTTAGAGAAATTTTGGAAAATAAAGATAAATATAAAATATCAGGAAGAAATCACCTGTAATTCTATTACCCACTGTTAAAATGTTGGTATATTTCCTTCTAGCTGCTCCCAACTTGTATCTGTTTAGATAGTTGAGATCATAATGCATTACTTATAATTTTGTATCCTGTTTTTTCACTTAACATTGACATTTGTGCATTCATTATATTGATAAAATCATTGAAATGGTTGCCTAGCTGGGCTCATTGGCTCACACCTGTAATCCTAATACTTTGGAAGGCCAAGGCAAGTGGACTGCTTGAGCTCAGGAGTGTGAGATCAGCCTGGGCAACATGGCGAAACCCCATCTCTACAAAAACACACAAAAATTAGCAAGGCATGGTGGTGCATGCCTGTAGTTCCAGCTACTCAGGAGTCAGAGTGGGAGAATTACTTGAGCCTGGGAAGCAGAGGTTGCTGTGAACCAAGCGAATGCCACTGCACTGGCCTGGGTGATAGAGTAAGACCCTGTCCCCCCAAAAAATAATTAAAAAAAAGGAAAAAAGGCTGTATAATGTGCCAAGAGTGGTAGGGATTCCTGAAGTGGGCTAAACTGTTTCCTTTTCATTAAGCCTTCAGCCTCCCAAGCCACTACACTTTGAGTCATACTTGTCCTATGGGAAGGAAGGTGACGACATATCTCCAGTGGATTCTTTTAACTTAGATTATTCTGGTTATGCTGCTTTCTTTCTGCTCATTCCTTTGCGTTTCCTCATGATCATCTGCCCGTTTGTTTGGCGTATAAGGTTGCCTGTAGAGTTTCCTTGTTACATCAGGATGTCCAGGGGGCCATTTTTGAGGCCCTGTTCCTGCTAGGTTCAGTCTTGAAGAGTTTGTTGGAACCATTTCTTCTGGTGGACTGAATGATAGCAGGCACAGCACTCACTGTTGTCCTTAAATTACAGGCCTCCAGCTAAACCAGAAGGCCCTCACCACCTTCCCAGATGTGGTACTTGTGCGGGTACCCACACCCTCAGTACAGTCAGACAGTGACATCACTGTCCTGCGACACCTGGAGAAGCTGGGCTGCCGGTTGGTCAATCGTCCACAGAGCATCTTAAATTGCATCAACAAATTCTGGACATTCCAAGAACTGGCTGGACATGGAGTCCCCATGCCAGACACCTTCTCCTATGGTGAGTCAGCTTGAAATACAGTTGGAACATATTTTCCCAAATCACGTGCATCTCTGTTTTCTTTCTCTAGAAACCTTCTAGTATCTTTGTGGTTTTTGAATGTGAGCCTGTTGATTCAACATGTTGGCCTTTCTATCTGAAATCTTTATCCTGGCCTTTCTATCTGAAAATGGCTTGGCATCTTCCCCTCTGTAAGTCATTCCACACTGTGCACCAGGCACCATGCTGGGCACTGGGCTACAGCAGTAAGCAAGAGAGTCCTGCCCTCAAGGCACTGCCAGTTCATCGGAGGCAGAGGACAAGTTAACTGGCAATTTCAGAGCAGTGTAAAAAGTGCCATGATAAGGGCCAGTGCAGAGCGGTTCAGGAGTATATGGGAGTGCTCCCAAGTCAGTTTAGATATTGAGGAAGGCTTCCTAAAAGGGCTAACATAGAGCTAAGCCGACGTTATCTAGCTAAGTGAAGGGAGATTGTGGGAGGGGGTTAATGTAAAGAGAGAGCAGAATATAGAAAGACCCAGAGGGGAGAGACACTCTGACCTGTTGGTGGTATTCTGAGTAGTTTGTAGAATGTTAAGAGAGTTACAGTTGAAATATAAGGCTGGGAAGATAAGAGGGCACTATATACAGCATGTGAAGATTAGGGTTAATCCTGGGAGTTAACAGGAAGTTATGGGAGGGCTTTAATCAGGGAGGTGGCCTGATCAGAGTTATAGTTCAGAAGATCACTTTGGCTACACTGTGGAGAAGGAATTGGATAGGGGCAAAGTAGAGCCAGGACAAGTACTGGTAGGTCTTTAAAATAGTCCCAGTGAGCAATGATGGTCTAAACAGTGAGAATGAAGATGTGTGAACAGATTCAGGAATTGTGAAGGTCGTAGAAATAATAGGACATGATGATTGCTCTATATGAGAGTATGGAGAGGAATCAAGAGTGACTGGTTTCTGATCTGAGCAACCAGATATGAAAGCAGACATTCACTAAGACTAGAAATGTGAAAGGAGAGAAGATGATTGATGGGTAGGGGGTGAAGGATTGTAGGGGAGAGATTATTTCAGTTTGAGACATGATCTGTTTGGGGCATCTGTAGTGCATGCAAATAAAAATATTTAGTAGGCAGCAGATAAATCAAAGCTTCTGAAAGAAGCGCAGACTAGGGAAGTGTAGTTGGAAACCTTCATTATGTGAGGTGACGTCCCAGGAATGGATGAGAGTACTCAGGGAGATTGTGCAGGAAGAAAAGAGGGCTGATCTGTTCACCTAAAATGGTTAAAATGGTAACTTTTATGTATATTTTAACACAAACATTTTTTTAAAAGAGGGAATCCTTTAGGGCAGTGGTCCCCAGGCTTTTTGGCACCAGGGACCAGTTTCACGGAAGACAGTTTTTCCACAGATTGGGGGTGGGGTGGAGGAGGATGGTTTCAGGATGAAACTGTTCCTCCTCAGGTCATCACGCATTAGTTAGATTGTTATAAGGAGGGCACAGTTCATAATAGGGTTTGAGCTCCTATGAGAATCTAATGCCACCACTGATCTGACAGGAGGTGGTGCTCAGGCAGTAATGCTTGCTCACCCACTGCTCACCTGATATGCTGCCCGGTTCTTAACAGACCATGGTCTGGTACTAGGGTTGGGGACTCCTCCTTTAGGGAATGGGTACAGGAAGAGGAATCTATAAAAGAAACTAATCATTTGAGCTCAGGAGTTCAAAGCTGCTTTGAAGTATGATAATGCCATTGCACTCCAGCCTGGGTGACAGAATGAGACTCCATGCCTTTAAAAAAAGAAAGAAAAGAAAAGGAAGGAAGGAAGGAGGGGGAGAGGGAGGGCAACTACTTGAGAGGTGAGAAGAGAAAGAAGAGAGGTTGCAGAAGCCAGTGGAGAGAATATAAGGATGGTGTCATCAAAAGTGTTGCATGATTCCAAAAGGACAACATAATGTGTGTGTGTTGGGTTCAGCAACAGGGAGTTGAATGAATACAGTTTCAGCTTAGTGCTGGAGAGAGGGGTGAAGAAATAAATGGAAAGTGAGGAAATGGTCTATAACTCTCAGTGGCTGGATGTTAGAGATACAAAGTTATAGTTAAGGGATGATGCAGGTTTAAGGAACAAGGACTCTATTTGCTTAAGATGGAAGAGAACTGAGCATGTTTAAAATGCCTGTGAAATTAGGAATTGTGAGGTTGAATATATAGCAGAGAGGGTGCAGGATCCCTGGGGAGGTGAGAAAGGGAGTCTAAAGCACAGTGGGGCAGGGATGGATTAGGAGGACTTCTCTTACTGCATCGTAAAGAAGGGAAGAAAGGATGGCTAGAGAGAACGTAAGCTTATCAGTGGGATGGTTGGAAGTTGGGAGTTCCCTTCTTACAAAATATCCTCTTCATGAAGATACCCCTAATTACTTTCACTGCCTCATTGTCTTTTTTTTTTTTTTTAAATCATTAGCACTCTTATGAACTAGACAGGTCTTGTTAGTGTTCTAGAGTATTTTGCTTTGCCCGTGATAGGCAGAATAATGCCACTCCCCCACCCTGAGATACCCATGTCCTAATCCCTGGAACCTGTGATTATATTAGGTTATATGGCAAAAGGGAATTAAGGCAGCAGATGGAGTTGATTGCTAAGCAGATGACCTTAAGATAGGGAGATTATTCTAAATTATCCAGGAGGGCCCAATGTTGTATGTGTCCTTAAAAGTGAAAGAGGAAAGCAGAAAAAAGTCAGAGGGAGACGTAACCAAGGGGGAAGATCAGAGTGATGACATTTGAGGACCCTACCTGCTATTGCTGGCTTTGGAGATGGAAGAGGGCCAGGAGCCAAGGGAAGTGGGGAGCCTCTAGAACCTGGAAAATGCATGGAAATAGATTTTCCTCTAGAGCCTAACGTTTTTTTTTTTTGAAACAGTATTCTGCTCTGTTGTCCAGAGTATACTGCAGTGGCACGATCGCGGCTCACTGCAGCCTCCTGGGCTCAACTGATCCTCTCACCTTAGCCTCCCAAGTAGCTGGGACCACAGGCATGCACCACCACACCCAGCTAATTTTTGTATTTTTTTGTAGAGGTGGGGTTTCACTATGTTGCCCAGACTGGTCTCAAACTCCTGAGCTCAGGCAGTTCACCCACCTTGACCCCCACAAAGTGCTGGGATTCCAGGCATGAGCCACCACACCCAGTCTTGGCTAACATTTTAATTTTAACCCAGTAATACCTGTGTTGGACTTCTGACTACAGAACTGTATGACAATAGATTTGTGTTGTTTGAACCACCAAGTTGTTGTAATATGTTACAGCAGCAAGAGAAACCAGCACCCCAGTGTACCTACAAAACACATCTATCCAGCACATTTTTTTAGAACTAGAAAGTGAAAAGAAGGACCTCTAAACAGCCTAAATATGTGTCACGAATTCCAACAAGCATTGAACCTCCCTCTTTCACTTAATGAATGGGAAAGCCCACCGGACTCTCATCTGGAACCTAGTTTCCCCTGTGCTGGAAAAATCATCTCACAAGTTGCTTTGTCCTTTCTAACCCCACAGCAAAGAGAAGCAGGAAAAGAGGCTTCCTTCTGCTCTATAGTGACAGCAGTGAGACATATTAGTTGACATCTGACAGCAAGGAACGTGACAAACCATTAAAGAAACCAGATTCCCAAACTAGAAAGTGCACTAGTTTGGTACCATTAAATGGAGGGCAGAGGTAGTCCCTCAGGGTATTATAGTGCAGCCATTAATATTCATGACATTGACCCTAAGTTATCAAGAAAAGATTATATTTGATATAGTATATATAGGAGCTCAGTTCATAAAACAATTTAGAACTACTTTCATGCACATCATTATTCATATTTTTTAAAATAAGGCTTATAGGAGTATGGTAGAGCCAGTTCAGGCTTCAGAGTCATACCTTAATTTTGGGTGAGACAAATTCCCAGGCTTGGTTTCTTTTCTATTGCTGCATAACGAACTTCTAAAAACTAAGAAGCTTCAAATTATACTCATTGATTATCTTGTAGTTTCTGTAGGTCAGAAGTCTAGCCACAGCGTAGCTGGGTTCTCTGCTTAGGTCTCCATAGGCTGAAATCGTGGTGTCGGCTGGGGCTGTGGTCCCACCTGAAGTTTGGGATCTTTTTCCAAGCTGCCTGGTTGTTGGCAGTCAGTGTCTTGCTGTTACGGGATTAAGTCGCCCACTTACTTGCTAGCCGTCAGTTGGGCCATTCTCCTCTAGAGGCTGCCCCCCTCTCCCTGCCACATGGCCTTCACCACAACATGGCAGTTTGCTCCTTCAAGGCTAGAAGAAGAGACTCTCTGATGTTTCACCTTTTTTTTTTTTTTAAAGGGACTCATCTGATTAGGTCAGGCTCACCAGGGGTCATCTCCCTTTCTGTTAAATTCAAAATAACAGGAATGATATCCAACATAGTCACTGGTCCCTTCTACACTTAGAAGAGGGGGTTATATAAGGTGTGTAAACCAGGGAGCAGGTATCTTGGGGTTCCACCTACCACAGCCATTGTAAAGGGTCAAGTGTCTGCCTATATGATATAAGGATTACATGGACTAGAGCATGTGAAGCCTTTACCACATAGAAGGTACCTGCTAAATGTTGGTTTCTTTACCTCTCTGCTCCCACCTTTTACCTTGCAGGTGCATAATGTGAGTCTGTTGAATCAAATGTGTTTGAACGGCCTTAATTAGAGAGAGAGATGAGGCCTCAGAAGAATTCCTACAGAGGGTCAGGGCTGGGGTGACCATCCGCCTTACCTTCACTGACTTTTACCTTTTCTTGGCAGGTGGGCATGAAGACTTCTCAAAAATGATTGATGAAGCTGAGCCCCTGGGCTACCCGGTCGTGGTGAAGAGCACACGAGGCCACCGGGGTCAGTGCCACCTCTCCAGGGCTTCCTGGGTAATCAGCCCACTAGGGCTGCTGCTCTGCCTGGACAAGACACTTCTCAAGCACTGCTTAGAAAAATGGAGCTCCCCTTTGAGGAGCTTGCAGTGTCCTTTCCTCTTTGTCTTCTGTTCTTGCTTTTCTGAGATCCTGCTCATCTCTTCCTTGGACTATTGCAGCCGACTCCTGACTTGATGATGATCAGTTTCCCTAACTCCACTGCCACTGCCTCTTCTGTTTTGTTTTGTTTTGAAGTAATTTCTCTGAAACATAGATCTATTCTTGTCACTCTCTCACTGAAAAACCCTCCCAAGACCATGTGCTGCCTGTTAGAGTCCATATTCCTCATCACGAAATGGAAGGCCCTGCTCAAAAAGCCGCAGCCTTCCCTTGCAGCCTCCCCTGGCCACATGAACCATTAATAATCCATTCCAGACTACTTCTCGTTCACCCAGTAGACCATGCATTTTCCTCTCTTTAAGCGTCTGCTTTTTTCCCTTTGCTGAGAATACCATCTTTCTCTGATCACCTGGTCAACTTCTGCTCATCCTTTAAGGCCAGCTCCAGGTATCATTTCTTTTCTACACACATCCCTGATCTCCCTTCCTGTCTTCCAGACAAAATTAATTGTTCTTTCCTTTTTGTTTCCATAGCATTTTATATGTGCCTCTAGCAGAGTGCTACACTTTTTAACAGTTTACAGGTTTATATGTCCGCTTCCTTTACTAGACTGCCAGCTGCTCAGTGGTGGGGACCAGGTCCAGAGCATCTTTCTCTGTAAGGCTTACTGCAGTGCTCAGTGCATCATAGGGACTCAGTAGGGACATCAGCAGCAGAAAGCAGTCCTCCTGCAGTATATGAGCAGGTGCCTCATTGGGACACCCAGGCAGCATGCTTAAATGCTCTGGGCATCTGGAGTGAGAGAAGGTCACCCTAAATAGATACGTAGTGAGCAACTACTATGGTGTAGGGACTATGCAATAGAAATGAAGTAGACAGCACTCCATTCTAGGCGACAGAGCAAGACCTTGTCTCCCCCCACCAAAAAAAAAGAACTAGACCCAATCACTATTCTCTTGGAGTTCAAGTGTGTAGATAGTAGGCACAGTTGCATTGCACGGTGATCACTGCCATAGCAGGTGTGTCTAGGGGTCTGTTTGAGCCTACAGGAGGGAGGGGACAACTCTGCCATGAAGTCTTCAGTGGAAGAAAAGGAGACTTAAATGGAAGTGTAGAATTTGAACTGGAGGAAGTGAGCGAGCAACACACAGAAGCAGGGGTAGGCAAAGCAACCTTTGAGCATAGATGAGTCCTGTTGAGGAGCAGAGAAAGGAGCCTGGGTAGCAAAGCGGGGCTCTTCGTGCTATCCAGACATGCTGCTGAGCTCAATTTCAACCAGCCTTTCAACCAGTTATTTTTTTACTGTAGTAAAATATACATAACATAAAATACAAATATTTATTGAGTGTCTACAAAATGCCAGGCACCATTCCAGGCTTTGGGGATACAGATAAGAACAAAAGTTCCTGCACTGAAGGAGCTTACATTGTAGAAAGGTAAGACAGACAGCAAACGGAAATTAAATATAATACATAATATTTTGTAAATTAAAAAAAAATTGAAATATAATTCACATAAAAATTTACCAGTGCAAAGTAAAATTCTGTGGGTTTTAATGTACTCACTATGTTTTACGACTATTACCACTGCTTAATTTCAGAGCATTTCCATGACTTCCAAAAGAAGCCTCACACCTAGTAGTAGTTAGTCCTGATTGCCTCTCCCTCAGTCCCTGGCAAGTACTGATCTCTTATTAATAACACTTTGTTACTATAGATTTGCCTGTTTTGGCTATTTTATATAAGTGGATTTATACAGTATGTGGACTTTTGTGTATGGCTTCTTTCACATAGCATGATGTTTTCAAGGTTCATCCACGTTGTAGCAAGTAACACTAGTTTATCTCTTTTTGAGACTTAACAATATGTGGTATTGGCTGTACCACATTTGGTTTACCTGTTCATCAGTTGGTGGACATTTGGATTGTTTCCACTTCGTGACTATTATGAATAATGCTGCTGTGAACATCTGTGTACAAGTGTTTGTGTGAACACACGTTTTCATTTCTCTTGGATATATCCCTAGGCATGGAATTGCTAGGTCATATAGTAATTCTATGTGTAACTCTTAAAGGACTGCCAAATTGTTTTTCATAATGGCTATGTCATTTTACATTTCCACCAGCAATGTTTGAGGGTTCCAATTTCTCCATATCCTCACCATCACTTGTTACTTTTTAATGTATGTATGTAGGTTTCGATTTGAATTTACCCAAAGTCTAATCGTGTTGGGCATCTTTTCATGTGCTTGTTGGCCATTTGTATACCTTCTTTGGAGGAATGTTTTTTTCATATCCTTCGTTCACTTTTTTTTTCTTTTTTCTTGGGAGATGGGGTCTCTCTGTTGCCCAGGCTGGAGTGCAGTGATGCGATCTCGGCTCACTGCAACCTCCATCCCCCAGGTTCAAGCGATTCTCTTGCCTCAGCCTCCTGAGTAGCTGGGATTGCAGGCGGCTGCCACCATGCCTGACTAATTTTTTTGTATTTTTAGTAGAGCTAGGGTTTCACCATCTTGGCCAGGCTGTCTTGAACTCCTGACCTTGTGATCTACCTGCCTTGGTCTCCCAAAGTGCTGGGGTTACAAGCCTGAGCCACCGTGCCCAGCCCCCTTTGCCCACTTTTTAACTGGGTTTTTAATCATTTTATTTTTGAGTTTGAAGGGTTCTTGTATAATGTAGGTTTTTTTTTTTTTTTTAGACAGGCTCTCGCTGGACTGCAATGGTGTGATCTCGGCTTATTGCAACCTCTGCATCTTGGGCTCAAATGATCCTCCTGCCTCAGCCTCCCAAGTAGCTGGGACGATAGGCATGCGCCACCATGCCTGGCTGATTTTTGTATTTTTTGTAGAGACAAGATTTTGTCATGCTGCCCAGGTTGGTCTCAAATTCCTGGACTCAAGCCATCCATACACCTCGGCCTCCCAAAGTGCTGGGATTACAGGTGTGAGCCACTGCACCCAGCCATATAATATAGATTCTAAATCCTTATTAGATATATAATAACATGTTTGAACATGTTTTTCCCATTCTGTAGGTTGTCTTTTCATTTCTTGTATAGTAGCTTTGATACACAAAAGTTTTTTTATTTTAGAAAGTCTAACTTGTCTATTTTTCTTTTTTTTTTTTTTGCTTCTATGTGCTTTTGATGTCATTTTTTGCCTTCTAAAAGCTTTATAGTTTTAGCCCTTTCCTTTGAGTCTTTGATCCATTTTGAGTTAATCTTTATGTATGGTATGAGGTAGGGGTTCAACTTTATTATTTTGCATGTGGATATACAGTTTTCCTAATACCATTTGTTGAAGAGCCTGTTTGTTTGCCCACTAAATGCTGTTGGAACCCTTGTCAAAAATCAGCTCACCATGTGTGTGAAGGTTTATTTCTGGGCCTTCAATTTTATTCCATTGATATAGTTCTGTCTTTATGCCAGGCCACACTGTCTTGATTACTGTAACTTTATAGTAAGTTTTGAAATTTGACCCTTTTTCTCTCAAATGGGATTAACCATCCTTGTCATAATAGCTTCCTAGTGCTAGCATGAGGTATAGGTGAAATAATAAAAAATCAAAGTGCTTGGCACTTGGTACATTATTAACCAATCTTGCTGCCTTTCTCTCCCTTTTTCCTTCTTGACTTAAAACTGTAGCTCCTTTACTAACTGCAGACTGAGCCCTGTATTAGAACTTCTGTACCAGAAACCAAGAAACCCAGTTCCTATCTCTAGTCCCCATCTCTGCTGAAAATCCTACTTAATGTCCAGAGAACTCCAGTGCATATACCTGAATCCCAGCCATCTGTTGCCAGAAGCCATATCTCCTGGCATCAGATGTGTACCTGCTTGCCCCACACTCATTGACTGAAGACAGGTAACACTGATGCTGCATCATGCACACTTGCTGGGGCCTCTCCATTTTCCTACTTTGCCCCCTTGCTGGGCCCTCTCCAGCTTCCCTGACACTGATGCCCACTTACCTGCACACCCTTCTGTCACCTGCCACATGGACATCTTCAGATCATGTGGCCCTATTCCTCTAGCTCTGTTGGGTGTCTAGGGTGTAGTCATCTCGGGAATGATTGCTTCCTGGTTGTAACACGTTTTGGAGGTTACTTTTCAGTTGTATGTAGCACTAGGGACTGGTCTTTTTATTAGGACTTCAGAAGAGTTCCACTCCTTGTAAGATGGTGACACAAAGCTTAGGAAAACCATTACTTTGTTCCATATTTGCTGAAAAGAATGCTCAGACTAGGCATACTCATGTCAGCTTTGCAGAGCAAATTTATCAGAACATCTGCTCAGGCCTAATATAATATAACTGGTATATTAGCTATTATTATAGCTAATATACCAATGGAAAAGCCAATGTTGGATGGACATGGTGACTCACACCTGTAATCCCAGCACTTTGGGAGGCTGAGACAGGCAGATCACTTGAGGCCAGGAATTTGAGACCAGCTAGCTGACATGGTGAGACCCTGTCTCTACTAAAAATATAAAAATTAGCCAGGTGTGGTGGTGCATGCCTATAATCCCAGCTACTTTGGAGGCTGAGGCAGGAGAATTGCTTTAACCCGGAAGGCAGAGGTTGCAGTGAGCCAAGATCACACCACTGCACTCCAGCCTGGGTGACAGAGCGAGACTGCCTTAAAAAAGAAAATGCTAATACTAAATAATAACAAAAGTGTAGGCAATTTGAACAGAAAGAATTTAAGCCCGATGCAGTGTCTCACACCTGTAATCCCAGCACTTTGGGAAGCCTGAGGCCTGTGGATCATGAGATCAAGAGTTCAAGACCAGCCTGGCCAAGATGGTGAAACCCCGTCCCTACTAAAAATACAAAAATTAGCCTGGCACAGTGGTGAGCAACTGTAATCCCAGTTACTCAGAAGGCTGAGGCAGGAGAATCGCTTGAACTTGGGAGACAGGTTGCAGTGAGCTGAGATCATGCCAGCTGTACTCTACCCTGGGCAACAGAGCAAGACTCCGTCTAAGAAAAAAAAAAAGAATTCAGAATCAAGAAGGAATGCTTTCTGCAGAGATTAGTAGAGGCAGAGGCCATTCCTTTCAGAATTAAATGGTGTAGCCAAGTAACAGCTTTATGTCTAAAGGGAAGGATGCCTGTCAGTGGTTCCCTCCTTTGAGCTCCGAAAGAATTACGCATAGACCTCTCTTGATGTTGTATCACACTGTGCTACCTTTTTTTTGAATCTCTCTCCATCCAGACTTGGAATTTCTCTAAAGTATGTTCAATAAATTACGTTCTACAAACATTAATTGACATCTTCCCTGCGCATATAGCCCAGTGTTAAGTTTGGGGAATTTTTTAACAATGAGTTAGATGTAGACCCTGCCTAATCAGCATCCTGGGGGGTGATGGGAGATGCTAATTAACTGTTTTTCGAACTGAATTGATTAGATCCTTGGGATTCTATTTTGGCTCTTTCTTTGTGTTTCTGGAATATATCATTATGTCATTTCAAAAAGAGTGATGGTGAAGGGAAAGGGTATTAGGACCTGAGGAAAGTTAGGGGAAAGTAAGGTTCATTGGTCATTTGATAAGAAGCAAAAGTCAGTCTGTGTGCGGTGGCTCATGTCTGTAATCCCAGCACTTTGGGAGGCTAAGATGGGTGGATCATGAGGTCAGGAGATTGAGACCATCTGGCCAATGTAGTGAAACCATGTCTCTTCAAAAAAAATACAAAACTTACCTGGGCATGGTGGTGGGTGCCTGTAATCCCAGCTACTCAGAAGGCTGAGGCAGGAGAATCCCCTGAACCCAGGAGGCAGAGGTTGCAGTGAGACTCTGTCTCAAAAAAAAAAAAAAAGCAGCAACAAAAGTCTAGCAGAGAAATAGAAGGGATCAAAGTGAGGCAAGTTCAGAGAGAACTGATGACTTTGTGGACAAGGAGGCCAAATGGCAAGAACAGTATCCAGAGGCTTCTCTAATCCCTCATCTCGCTCTTTGTCTTTCTTCTTAAAGGAAAAGCTGTTTTTCTGGCAAGAGATAAACATCACCTCTCTGACATCTGCCATCTGATCCGCCATGATGTGCCCTACCTGTTCCAGAAGTACGTGAAGGAGTCCCATGGAAAGGACATCCGGGTGGTGGTGGTAGGGGGCCAAGTCATAGGCTCTATGCTTCGCTGTTCCACCGATGGACGGATGCAGAGCAACTGCTCTCTCGGTAAGGTATAAAAGTGCAGGGTGTTATTAGGGTGTTTGGACTCATTCAGCAAATGTATATCGATCCCTACTGTCTTGTCGGACCCTCTGCTAGACACCAGGATCTCATAGATGAGAATGAGGAACAAACCCTTTCCTGTGGCAGCAAGCAGTCCAGGAGGGGAGCATATGAGTGTAAGTGCTGCGGCAGAGGTCAGGCAAAGAGTGTCAGGACATGGAGGATTGAACCCTATCCTCTAGGTGTTAAGACTTAAAACAGAGAGTGACATGAAGACCGACGCTGGAGAAAAACTCCCATTTAGGTAAAGGATGGAGCAAAGGCATAAGATGGGAGGTAGGGAGGTGAGTTTTGAAGCTGTTGCAACAACTCAGGCAAAAAATAATGAGTCTAAACTAAAGTCATGACAGGAGAAGTATCGTATTTTCCTTTTATGTTTTAACAGAAAATGTTTTCCTTTTTTGTATGATGCTATTAGAAAGCTACAGTTTATGCTTTGGTTGCATGCATAAACACATCCCATTAACCTGTTGATAGTGTTTGTTTTCTGTTGTGCTGAATGGAGATATTCCAAGAAGAATGTAAGTTCTTGTCCCCATCACAGAAAATTATTGTCAGCCTCATTGAATTAGTTTGTATGTTGGTAATAGGAAAAAAAATCACCATTGCTAGTTTGATTTCCTAAATTGCTAGATTTCCTAAATCACCAGAAGGATATTCCAAGTCCAGTGACTGATAAAGAGGCTTAGGTGCTATCTGGCACTTCTTTAATTGATAGTCATTGGGCGTTTCCAGGAACAGACTCTATGATAGATGTCGAGAATGTAGAGATTATGAGAGAGCCCCTGCCCTCAGGTAGCATGTGATCCCATAAAGAAGACATATGGGCCACGTGTGGTGGCTTATGCCTGTAATCCCAGCATTTTGGAAAGCCAAGGCAGGAAGATCACTTAAAGCCAGGAGTTTGAGACCATACTGGACAACAAAGCGAGACCCCTATCTCTACAGAAAATTTTTTAAAAGTTAGCCAAGTGTACTAGCACATGCCTGTAGTACCAGAAAGCTGAGGTGAGAGGATCCTTTGAGCCTAGGAGTGTGAGGCTGCAGTGAGCTATAATTGCACCATAGCACCCCAGTTTGGGCAACAGAATGAGACCCTATCTCTTAAAAAAAAAAAAAGATAATTGTAAGATACTGTGATAAAGTGGTGTGATGGAGTCAAATGCCAGATTCAAGTTGACAGATTCAAGTTGACACACTACTAAGTGTCTTACATGCTATCTCATTTTCTTTTTTCTTTTTCTTTTTTTTTGAGACGGAGTTTCGCTCTTGTTACCCAGGCTGGAGTGCAATGGCGCGATATCGGCTCATCGCAGCCTCCGCCTCCTGGGTTCAGGCAATTCTCCTGCCTCAGCCTCCTGAGTAGCTGGGATTACAGGCACGCGCCACCATGCCCAGCTAATTTTTGTATTTTTAGTAGAGACGGGGTTTCACCATGTTGACCAGGATGGTCTCGATCTCTTGACCTCGTGATCCACCCGTCTCGGCCTCCCAAAGTGCTGGGATTACAGGCTTGAGCCACTGTGCCCGGCCTTTTTTTTTTCATTTTTGAGACAGAGTCTTGCTCTGTTGCCCAGGCTAGAATGCAGTGGCATGATCCCGGCTCACTGTAACCTCCTCCAAGTGATTCTGATGTCTCAGCCACCTGAGTAACTGGGATTATAGACATGTACCACCACACCTGGCTGATTTTTGTATTTTTAGTAGAGACAGGGTTTCATCATGTGGGCCAGGCTAGCCTCAAGAGATCCACCCCGCTCGGCCTCCCAAAGTGCTGGGATTATAGGTATGAGCCACCATGCCCAGCCCATTTTAATGATAATCATGTTTAGTATCACAGTATTGAACCTTGTGTGTTATTTTTACTTTTTTAGTTACCTTACAAAATCCATTCATTAGTAATCATGTGGTTTTATAATTTATCCACATTAGTTTTCTTAGTGAGCCATTTTAAAACTGTTTTTTAGCCTTTTTTAGATACAGTGTTATGGGAAGGAACAGTGTTAAGGTAAAGACACTAGTTATTGGACCTGAGAATATAATTCTTAAATCTTTCCAAGGAGGCTAACTGGAGACAGTTAAATCTGAAGTCCTAGCTTTTTAGCAAAGTAAGAGCAATCAGTCTCTCTGTCCTTCGCACAGAATTTTGTCTCAGTCCTTTCCGTCTCTGTCTCTCTCTCTCTCTCTCTCTCCTTTTTTTTTTTTTTTTTGGTCCATTAAGGCATTTTACTTATAAATGTTAATATGTGTTACATCCCTAGTAAAAGAATCCCAGGATTTTCCCACCTGTGTGTTTTCATCTTACTTCTTCACAGGCCATGATGGCTGTGATGCCAGCTGAGGTTGTCAGTACAGTGAAACCAAACTGACGGGATGGGAGCAGATTATTCTGCCATTTTTCTAGATCTTCAAGTTGCACATCAGACAGGGTTTGTTCACTCCACCCTTGTTTAACCTGCCTACGAGGTTTACAACAGTTTTCCCAGCTCTGTGATCATCAGTGATTGCAGATTTGCCGGCATAACTATGCTTTGTCTTCACAGTTAGAAACCAGATGATAACTTAGGAGCATGGCCTAACAAGAACCTGGCGTTTGTCTCTCTCTTCGGCATTGGTGATGCTCTCGAGAGTATCAGCCAGGGCATTGACATACACCATTATGGTAGCACAGAAAGATGGCAGAAAGAGCCATCTCTCTCTCCTTAAAAATCAATAAGTTAATTGTATTTGTTCTATTCTTAAGAGGAATACATTCTCAGTGTAGAAAATTTGGAAAATATGGCCGGGCGTGGTGGTTCACATTCGAAATCCAAGCACTTTGGGAGGCCAAGGTGGGCGGATCACCTGAGGTCAGGAGTTTGAAATTAGCCTGTCCAACATGGTGAAACGCTGTCTCTACTAAAAATACAACAATTAGCCAGGCATCGTGGTGGGCGCCTGTAATCCCAGCTACTCAGGAGCCTGAGGCAGGAGAAGAATCGCGTGAACCCAGCATGTGGAGGTTGCAGTGAGTCTAGATCGTGCCACTGCACTCCAGCCTTGAGTGACAGGGCAAGCAGAGCAAGACTATCCAAAAAAAATTGTTTTTGGAAAACACAGCAAAGTCAAATGAAAAAGGTGTTTATCATCCCCACCATTTAGAGAAAACAACTGTTAATATTTTGGTGTAACTTACAGTCTTTTCTTCTGAGAAATCTCTTTTTGCCTAGTTATGGTCATATTGTATAGTCTTTTTTTTTTTTTTTTTTTTTTTTGAGACAGAGTTTTGCTCTTGTTGTCCAGGCTGGAGTGCAATGGTGCAATCTTGGCTCACTGCAACCTCTGCCTCTCGGGTTCAAGTGATTCTCCTGCCTCAGCCTCCAGAGTAGCTGGGATTACAGGCATTCGTCACCATGCCTGGCTAATTTTGTATTTTTAGTAGAGACAGGGTTTCTCCATGTTGATCAGTCTGGTGTAGAACTCCCGACCTTAGATGATCTGCCCACCTCAGCCTCCCAAAGTGCTGGGATTACAGGCGTGAGCCACTGCACCCAGCCATATTGTAGAGTCTTAAATCCCCCGTGTTCCCATGTGATTACAAGCTCTCTGTGGGCACTATTATTTATTTTTATTTTTATTTATTTATTTATTTATTTATTTATTTTTTTTTTGAGACGGAGTTTCACTCTTGTTGCCCAGGCTGGAGTGCAATGGCGCGATCTCGGCTCACTGCAACCTCCGCCTCCTGGGTTCAGGCAATTCTCCTGCCTCAGCCTCCTGAGTAGCTGGGATTACAGGCATGCGCCACCATGCCCAGCTGATTTTTTTTTGTATTTTTAGTAGAGACGGGGTTTCACCATGTTGACCAGGATGGTCTCGATCTCTTGACCTCGTGATCCACCCGCCTCGGCCTCCCAAAGTGCTGGGATTACAGGCGTGAGCCACCGCGTCCGGCCCATTTATTTTTATTTTTGAAAAAGAGTTTCACTCTGTGAAACAGGCTGGTGTGCAGTGGCATGATCATGGCTCACTGTAGCCTCAAACTCCTGGGCTCTAGGGTTCCTCTCACCCCAACCTCCCAAGTAGCTCGGACTGTAGCTGGGACTGCAGCTACTTAGGAGGCTTAGGGGTGGGAGGAACCCTACAGCAAACCACCATACCCCCTATTTTTATTTTAATTTTTTGTAGAGATGGGGTCTCGCTATGATGCCCAGGCTAGCCCAAACTCTTGGCCTCAAGCAGTCCTCTCACCTCAGCCTCCCAAAGTGCTGAGATTACAGATGTGAGTCACTGTACCCAGCTGGCATTATTATTAATGGATGTAAAATACACTGTTTTTCTCTATTGTATTTCTTCATTCAATATTTGTTGAATATTTATTGAGTGCCTGTCATGTACCTGGCTCTATGATTTGTATTTTAAATAATACTGCCATCAACATCTTTGCGCATAAAGCTTTCCCCCCCCCATACGTAAGATTATTCCCTTGATAGTGGGATGCCTGGGTCAGAGGAAATCGACATTTTTAAGACTAGATAAAAAATGACCATAGGCCAGGCATGGTGGCTCAAGCCTGTAATCCCTGCACTTTGGGAGGCTGAGGTGGGTGGATTGCCTGAGGTGAGGAGTTCGAGACCACCCTAACCAATATGGTGAAGCCCATCTCTACTAAAAATACAAAAAATTAGCCAGGTGCGGTGGCGGGCGCCTATTGTCCCAGCTATTCAGGAGACTGAGGCAGAAGAATTGCTTGAACCCAGAAGGTGGAGATCACAGTGAGTCGAGACCGCACCACTGCACCCCAGCCTAGGGGACGAAGTGACCCTCCGTCTCAAAAAAAAAAAAAAAAAAAAAAGACTGTATTATTTTCCCAAAGCGGGTACTGATTTCCATCCAGAACTTTCGCGATTAATGCTCGAGCCTGTCTGTCTGCCCCTCCTGGGCAGACCCCTGTCCCTTCTTCAAAGAGTCATTTGACTTCTCAGTTGTCACCTTTACACCCCTGTGCTTTCCCCACAGGTGGCGTAGGCGTCATGTGCCCGCTGACAGAACAAGGCAAGCAGTTGGCCATTCAGGTGTCCAACATCCTAGGCATGGACTTCTGTGGCATTGATCTGCTTATCATGGACGATGGCTCCTTTGTGGTGTGTGAGGCAAACGCTAATGTCGGCTTCCTCGCCTTTGACCAGGCGTGCAACTTAGATGTGGGTGGGATCATTGCAGACTATACCATGTCCTTGCTGCCAAATAGGCAGACTGGGAAGATGGCTGTCCTCCCAGGACTGTCGAGTCCGAGGGAAAAGACCGAGCCAGATGGCTGTGCTTCAGCTCAGGGAGTTGCAGAGAGTGTCTATACCATCAACAGTGGGTCTACCTCTAGTGAAAGTGAGCCTGAACTGGGAGAGATCCGGGATTCCTCAGCAAGCACAATGGGGGCCCCACCCTCCATGCTGCCCGAACCTGGCTACAACATTAACAACAGGATTGCTTCTGAATTAAAACTTAAGTGAATTCCTGCTTTTTGGCAGCATTTAAACCAAATCCTACTGCTTCCCTAGTAGTTTTGAGTGAATAAAATCTGGACTAATGTGATTTCATTTGCACAGAAACTAGAAATCCCATCTGGGCACTCAGCATTTTTTCTAATGATGATTTAAGCAAATGGCCTAGCTTTGTGGTTTTTACAAAGACAAATATAAAAACAGTCACCAAGAACAACGTCCCAACTGATCAATAGGAGACTGATGTCTGCCGTGAGCACGTGGCTATTACGGCTGACTTTAAGGCACTGACTGCTGCTGCTGCTTCTGACTCTTAGCAGTAGAATCCATTAACTCCAAATGGCTCTTGGAAATATGTACTCAAAAGCAACCACGGGATGGAAGCATGTGCAGACAAGGTGGAATGTGACTGCAGTAATACATTCTTCACTAAGTGTGTATGTGATGCTTGGAAAATACACAGTTCAAACACTATTAGAGAATCGATATCTGCTCCCCATCAATCACCATCTTGACCCTATTTCTCTGACACTCAGGATATGGTGTTTTAGGGAGCTTCCTCATTAGCATTTTCAATGAAGCACTTTGTAGAAAGTGAGATTGAACATTCTTTGACTTCACAGGTTGGCAAATGTCCTGCTTTGTAACTGGGCCTTTCTACAAATTGCTTTGCCACCCTGAATTTATAGACCCTGCTTCAACTAATGTCAGCTCCAGCAGCTTCTTGCACCTTTGCTGCCTTTGGCCTCAGCTGGAAATGCACTTCAATGAGCTAGTGGCCACACACTTTATTTCTTAAGCGTGCACTAGAATCTAACACCATGGACTTTCTTTCTCAATGGACTCTGTTCACTTGTCATCCAGAAGCCAGTGGGTTTTAACCATAGAAAGCAACTTGGAGATCATCTTTTTTCCCCTCCTTGCCTGAAACTTTGTGTACTGCTTAGCTGTAGGAGGTTTCCTTGTATGAGTGGGTGTATGAGCAGATAGGAGCCATTGGATCACTCCAATCCCCTTGAAATTCTACTTTTATCTAGGATCCAGACACCTGTCCTTGCCCACTTTTCCAAACTGGGAAGATTCAGATATCAGGAATTACTCATTGCACATTTTGAGGGGGCTAATGTAGACATGACACCAAGTGCTTTTCATTTTAATTAAGCAGTAGATGAGATCTTTCCCGTGGGAGAAATCACAGAGATGGAGTTTTCCATTTCTGCTTATATGAAGTATGACTGAATGCGAGCAAAGCTACCTTTTTAACCAAATACACTAGAACATATGCACTCAAGAGTTAGCATAATTGGAGTTACTTCCATGATGTTGCATGCGCCAAGAACACTTAGGGTTCCTCTTTGGGATTACCTTTGAAACCATGCAAGTCAAGAAGCCTCACAACTTTATAGTCAGACCTTGTGTTTTATCCATCCCAACCCTTCCTCCTGCCCACCCAGGTAATCCTGAGCTTCATCATCCATTTTATTTAGCAGACTTATTTTCTAATGCTCCTTAGCTGTTAAAAAAGATAATTCCTCAAGAAATAGATCTACCCTTAAAGGACAAAGATTTACAACACTGAAGACCCTTACAAGTTCACAGTTTCTAAAGAGGGTTCTAGAAATGTTCTATGTAAGGTCAGCTTCACTGGAACAAACATACATCTTCCCAAGGTAACTACTTCGAAGGCAACACTATCCATTAGGGTGCAGATATTACTGTACTTATTCTGCCATAAATGTAAAATGTGTATAAAGTTAAGCTATTGTATTTTTTCATAACACATTTAAATAGAAATTGGCTTTTAAAGTATTGTAGTTAAAACCAGGTCCCACCAAGTAATAGTTGTACAATTGACAAATGTTCAGTGCCATGTAATGGAGATGTCACACTACACAGTTGTAGTTTAAATGCAGTCCAACATAAGGTGCATGCCACTGACTGTAATCCTAGTAATGTGTCTTGTACAGTTGAAAAATGATAATACTTCACCTTTATATAGGTTATGACATATACCTTATCTTTACCACTCAGGGTGGCTTTAAAAGACGGACAGCTTTAGGTTTGTTCTCACTGGAATTGGTTACACTTTCTGTGCAAACTTCTGAATCAAGTGATGACCGTCTGGAAGCTGCATTCCCTCATTTCCACTGTTTGGTGTGAATCTGTTCTCCCCACTTTATCCAAAAAGGATGCTAGCAGGACCCCAGCCTGAGCAGAGCAGCTAGAGAGCTTCCAGATTCCTTTGCCAAAGGAGGCCCATTTTCCAGCTGTGAGTGACATCTGTAGTCATTGGCTTCATTGCCTGGCATCAGCCCTGTCTAAAAGTGGCGAAAGCCGGATCACAGCTGGACAACAACCAGCCCCAGGACAGGATTTCCCATACCACATTGGCTGTGGGCTCTGCGAGCCTCAGCCAGGTAGCCAGGCTATACTTGTCACAGCTGGCCACAGGCCTGCTGAAGGAACATGGGGTACAGAGCCAGAGCCTGGTTCTGGCTCTCCACTTGAACAGCTGACCTTGTGCAATCACAGGAACTCTGTGTCTCCATGTTTCATTCAGATAGAGAAAATGCCTCATTTACCTCTTTGAGGCTGCAGTAATTAAGTAAGAGACTGGTGCATGTAAGTTAATAGTAGTAGAACACTTCCCACATCTGATTTTATAACAGTTTCCCATCACTCCTTAAGAAAGGAAAAGGCCATGAATTCTTGGCATTAGCACACTAAACAGTGGTAGGGGCCCTGAGAAAGGAATGCAGCTTCTCGGAGACCTCACTTCCAGCCAGGGAAACTTAAGACCTGAAAGGAATAAGGCACTTTGTGTATTCAAACAGCCTTCTGGATTTATCGTATATAACCTGAAACTCTCTACTCTTGTAAACCAACTAACGAAGTCTTCCTTATGTAACATAGATTGCGGTGTCTGTATATGGTCTTCCATTATCTGGTGGTTGCATCTTGAAACTGGTAAAAACTTGAATGCCAATAGCTCAGTCACTCAGAATATACATGATTCTGCACTTGGGAAAAATGTCTTCATGCTGTTTTTCTGATCGGGTATGGGGTTGTCAGAATGAGGATTTGGCGCTTTAGGTCTTTAGGATCTCAGAAACAATATAAGTGGATTATAAGCCACTAGTGTCACAATTGCAGGCTCATGGCTTCGAGCTAAAAGGAGATTCCATGACCATGGGGACCAGGAGAGGAGGAAAGGGAAAGGTCTGGAACGGTTTTGTGAAAGAAACAAAAAATTGGGATCATTTGGAATTCTAGAAGGAAGAAGGAGAAAATGGCTCTTCTTTGGGCTGTTTTAATGACAGAATCATGAATATGTATTGATTAGGTAGATGTCTTTGAGCTATTCTGTATAAAGATAATGAGATGCATGGATTTCCATCCACCCTGGAGAAGTGGGAGAGACGTGCTTCCTCCCTTCTTTAAATCCTGAGGAATGCTGGTCTTGAGAACACTGAATACAAATCTGGGAAAGATGTAAGCAGCTAGCTGAGGGGTTTGAGAACCACCCAAATAAAAGTTGACCTCCCCAGAGGCTAATGAACCAAAATACTATGTGCAGGCATAGCCTGGAGCCACAGCTTTAGCAGGTCAGTTTAAGGAGTCAGATCGGAGAGTAAATCCAACATTAGTCTAGGCACTACAGCTTAATATTTTCCTCTGCAACTGGAATTAAGCCTGTTTGCCATTAGTCTGAGTGGAGGTCTTGGGAAGGGCGCTGATAATAGTCATATTTGTCACTGTCCCTAAAGTGAATGTTCGTAGATCTGGGACTATTTTTGACTCTACCTCTGAGACTCAAGATCAGTACAGATTGTTACTTTAAAATGTTACCTGCAAGACCATCCTTCTCAGGGATATGCTGTTTTAATCCTTTCTTAAATCTAAATCATGCCTCCATTCCAAGTCTATGGCTAGACTCTGCAGCCCTCCCTCCTAAAACCAGAGGGCTGAATGTGAAAACTTTCTTCTGTTGAGCCTTTCCATTTCCTTCTCCAGGTACGGTTCTTGTGCCAGTATGCACTATCCCAAGCCCTGCGCTGGCATTCCAACCTGGTTTGGTAATTTCGCTGTGAGGTTTATGTTCTCTGGAGCTCCAGGGCAACACTAAGAAAGTCGCTTATGAGGCCCTTTTGAGGCCATGGAAATAGCATTTTGGAGGCCAGTCTAGTCCCCTATTTTATAAATAGGGAATCTTAGTTCCAGAGGCCATGGTCCCTTGCCAGTCAACAGCGAGGCTGGACTTCAGTGACCTGATTCCTCATCCAGTTTGGCATCCTGCTGGAGGTAGCTCCATCCCTCCCTAGAATCTAGCACATGCTGTCATCCTGGGCCTACCCCCTGCCTCTTCCGCTTATGATGAGCCTCTGTTCTGGATCAACACGGTGTTGATGCGCCAGCCATCAAGGGTTTAGCACTTGGATGGCTTCTAGGTGAGAGCTGCAAAGGCATGTATATTTCCATGATGCAAGCTGGCTCATGGCCTGCGCCGTCTTTAGAACAGCCAAGATCATTTAACTCTACCCCACACTTTCAGTGGTGGGATGTGAGGAAGAAAGCCCATGCCAAGCTAACTGAAAGCTTATTTGGCTCCAGTTCGGCTGATGTTCCCTCACTGCGGAATGTCCTGGATCCCAGGGGTTTGCAGCTCCTAAACCTATTGCATTAGGCACACCCGAGAAGAAACTCTGTTTGATGCACATGCTCCAGTTTCAATCAGCAACAAGGTCCAAAGTTTCCTCCCACTTTCTGTTCCACAGTGTGTCCCCCTTGCAACCAGACATTAGGCACAGATTCATCCCTGTTGTAACCCAAATGTCAGCTGAGGACTCCCTGCCTCTTGAGATCCAGAAAGGTCTGATAACTGGGCTCTGATCCTGAACCTCTAGATTTCTGTGATTTCTAAGAGACATATTTTTGCAGCCACTGCTGACTCCACACTTCTGCTACCTCATTTTAAACAATGCATCAGCTGAGACATGAAGCTCAGTTCCCTTTCCCATTTCCACATAGCAAAATTCAAGTGAGTGAGTGTATGTGCCTGTGTGTGTCTCAGTGATGTGGGAAGGAATGGCAGATGCTACAACAGTGCAGACTCCGCACCCCATTCGTAGAATGTTCTTTTTATATTAATATGGAAGAATTCCCACTCACCTTCCACTCCACATGGTCCCCATCTCCTGTCCTTGGGATAAACCAGATCCATTTGTATTCTCACGTACAGCAGGATGGATAGCCATTCCTTTTCTTAATTTGATTTCTGCCAACACCCTTACCATCACAACTTCACCTTTTACCATGGGTGGCTTTTTAAAAGCGTTTTCCTGAACAAAGACAGTTCCCTCCTCAAAGGGAATTTGAGTGCCATCTCTTAAGGTGATGCATCTTTTATTCCCACGACACAAGCCAGGCATCACAACAACCACATTCACCACTCATCAGGGGCACGCCTTTCAGAAGGCAGCATGGACTAATGTGAATGGTACTAGTTTGAGTCAATCCAGTTCAAATCCAGGTAACTTAAAGCTTGTGTGACCCAGGGGCACTTTACTTCAACTTGTTAAACCTTAATTTTGTCACCTACAAATGTGATAAATAAACACACACTGGAATGTGTAGCACTTAACCGCATGCCTGGCTTTCCATAGGTTCCTTTCCTTTTGCTTCCCCCACTGTGAGCAACACAAGCATCGCCTTCTTGAGATCGTGGCTCAGTGCCAAGGGATAAAAGCTGGCAGACAGCAGCTTTACAGCTGGGAAAAAGAGCTGTTGGGGATGGGGCTGGCGGCAGCTCAAGCATGCTGTGGTTCAGGCATAATGACTGGAAGGTCCCATCCATCTTTAAGATTCTATGATGCTATGTGCAAGGTAGAGCGAACATATTTGGCTAAGAAAAATCCTGGAGGAAAGACTGCCTCAGACAACGGGGAGGCTGGAAAGCCGACCTGGAAAGCAGCCTGACCTTGGTTGATTTAGCACCTGGGTTTTTTGGCTCTTCCTGTATTAGGTTTGCTGGCTTCGCATCAAATGGAAGGAGGAGGTGCCAGGGAAGTGAATTAAACCTGTCAAATGGAGGGTGAGGGGACTGCAGAAGGCTGGGGGTTGGGGGGCTGTGTGGGAAACTCTGATAGTCCGACAGCACCATCTGGACTTGGCAGGGATGACAGCCCTGAGATCAGATGAAACTAACTAATAAAGCAGCTAAAATTCTGCTGTCCTGGGCCTGTCTGGAGTGGGACTCCCATAATCTCCTGTTTAGAAGAACACTGATCTCCTCTAAGGGGAAAGCTGGAGCCCTTAATCATTCTGCAGAGATGATAAAGGTCACTGTGGAGGAAGGCCTAGGCAGGTGCCTGGTTTGCTTAGTCTCCCCCTTGTCCCACGTTCCAGTGGTGTGCTGAAGTGGTTTGCACTGACCCATGAGAGTGGATTGTTAAATTTTCAGGAATTTTGTAAGCTGGTTGGTGAACACAGCTACAGTGACCACACAGTGACCATTAGAGGTTATATTAACCTACAATTAAGTATATTAAAAAAGGTAATACATACTCAAAACTCATCACTTCCTAATTAGTTTACTGTTACCTGTGTACTTGAGGATACTGACATCATTGTATTTGTATGGTGTGCTACAATATAATGGCGTACTAGTGCACATCTTTTCCCAACCTGACCATTCAGTGACATCACATCGGTAGCTGGAGAATCAGACCTATTAAGAGTATTTACACTACAGAGATTGGCAAACACTCTACATCAAGACCCCCTCCCACAGAGCTGGTTGTTAAACATGTGTCAGCACACCACTGCCACTGGGCGACAGAAGAAATTGACACACATAAGCATTGAAACATCTTAGTTCCAAGGAGGTAGCATTTGTGTCGTATTTCTCGGAAGCAAGTGTCCTAGTGTAATGTGCACAACTGGCATGAAGTTTAGCACCCAAAAGACTGCTTCTCTGCTTGTTTTAATTTCTGTGGTTTTTAACCCTTGAGAAATCTGCTTACTTTGCTACTCAACTTATTGGAGTGATTTGTAAAGTTCACTCTCACCTGTGGGCAGTAGTTCAGCTAAATTCCCTCCAGAAAAGTGGACTGTAGATTTTCCTGCCTAACTGGCAAAACCAAAATGTGCTGAAAAGAATACATCTTAACTAGGCAGCACCAAAGTAGCTCATTTCCAAGTGGTTTATACGGCAATAACAGTGTTAACTTCTCCAACAGAGAAGAAATCATTTATAAATGATTGTTTTGCTGTTTTTGCTTTTTATTAAAATTATTACTGTGGAACAGAATGCTTTGTTTGCGTTTGTCCCAAAAATTCTGTGCCTTTTGGTGGTTCTTGTAAAGTAAGAATCACACGCTGAATCTACATTTTATTATTTTCATATCATAAAATGAGGAAAAGCCTTCATAGAAGAAACTTCACCCTATTCACTCACACACCAGCTGCATTCTGAAAAACTATAATTTTCCTTTCAAACGCAGAGTGTCGTCTGAATTGTAATACTGCCAACTCTCAACTGTCAAGATGATGGAGGAAAATACTAATGCAGATGGCATGAGCTTGTCACAGGCCTGCTCAGCGTGCTCTCCTGGGCTGACATTTGAATTAAGATTCAAATAGCACGTGAGAGCCGAAAGCTGTTTAAAATGGCTGTGTGGTGCAGTAAGGGGTCTCAGGGGATTGAAAGAATCTGTACTCACCAGAAGAACTCTGACAGGTCAGGCAGGGCCCTCAGGACTTGTGTTTGTCTGACATTTCAAGAGGCTTCCTGGGAGAAGCAGTGATAAGACCTTGGGGGGCTAACGGTCAACACAAGGCCCAAGACCCTTGAACTAAGGCTGTTCCCCAGCTTCTGAGTCCAAACTGGGGTCAGAGCATCAGAGGGACAGTGCCTGATTGCTGCAGCCAATGATGATTTGGGGTATGACAGTAGGTATCATTCACATTGTCCTGGAACCCAAACACTGGGGGATGTGACCTATGTTTCTTTCTTCTTACATGAAAATCATCAAACTACACAAAAGTTGACAGAATAGTAAACTCCCAGAAAAGACGTTTCCATTTGCCTTTACCACACATAATAAGATTAGCAATAATCCCCTGATACCATCTAATTCCCAGTCCATATTCAAATTTCCCCCATTGTCTCAGAGAGAACTGCATTTAGCTCCATGGTAGACCAGCATATTTGGTGGGACAGGAAGTACCTTGGAAAGGGTGCTGATGGCTTCCCTACCCTCTTGATGGCAGCTTTGACAGAAACCATGCTGCAGGGGCATGGGTGGAGAGATGTTCAGGCTGGCTGCAGATACATTCCCAAGTTGTAGGATCTTGGGATTTCCTCTCCTCAAAGAATAGGCCTGTGACACTTCCCCTTCTACTTCCCAGAGTCACATGGTCTCCCTCTGGGACCCTCTCAGCTTCCTGCTGCTGGCATCCTCCTGTCTATCACGCTGGTACGTGCTGCTTTTCCTGCAGCTACTTCTTTCACTAATGGCACTTCTTAAATCTGGGGAGAGGCTTCTCTCAAAGATTATCGCTCTTCCACCAGCCTTAGGTCTACTGTACTCTCAATGAATCACAGCTCTTTAGAGGTCCCCAAGGGCCCAAGCATCTTCTTTTATTAGAAAAGCCTGGCTGAAATTCTCATGAGATAGGTCAGGGAACCTTGGAGTAGCAGCACTTGTGTCACATCTAAAGGCACTCCTCTGACTAAAGAGAAGTGGCAGCTGAGGACACTGCCTGACCCAGGATTTTCTTTTGCTCTAAAAGACATTATTAAGATATTTGGTCTGTACTGTATTGGCTGATAGTATCATATCAATGTCAATTTCCTGATTTTGGTGATTGCTCTAATAATACATAAGAATGTGTCCTTGTTTTTAGAAAATACACATTAAATATTGAGGGATAGAGGGACATCATGTCTGCAATTTACTTTCAAATGGATCAGAAGATAATGGGTTTCTAGAAAGAGAAAATAAAGCAAATGCGGTAAGATGTTAACATTGGGAAGATGTTGGTGAAAGGTCTTATAGGAATTATTTGCATGAGTAGTCTGAGTAAGTCTGAAATGACATCAGCCTCCTGTGCTGGATTCACCTCTTCTCCATTAAATGTTGTTTCCTCTGGCATTTCCTTAGGCTTTCTTCTATTCCTTAGCTGTGTTTCATCCCTATGTGATCTCCATTTCCTTGGTAATAATTGCCATGTACATGATACTTTCAAATTTATCTCTGAACCCAGGCTTCTTTTCTGTTTTGTTTTGTTTTGGGTTTTTTTTTTTTTTTTTTGAGACAGAGTCTTACTCTGTTGCCCAGACTGGAGTGCCGTGGTGCAATCTCAGCTCATTGTAGCCTCTACCTCCCAGGTTCAAGCAATTCTCCACCTTTAGCCTCCCAAGTAGCTGGGATTATAGGTGCACACCACCACACCCAGCTGATTGTTTTGTCTTTATAGTCGAGACCGGGTTTCACGCTGTTGGCCAGAGTGCTCTTAAACTCCTAGCCTCAGGTGATCATCTGCACTCCTTAACCTCCCAAAGTGTTGGATTACAGGTGTGAACCACCATGCCTGGCCCAGGCTTCTTGTCTTTTTTTTTTTTTCTTTCTTTCTTTTTTTTGAGACAGAGTTCGCTCTTGTTGCCCAGGCTGGAGTGCAATGGTGTGATCTCAGCTCACTGCGACCTCCACCTCCTGGGTTCAAGTGATTCTCCTGCCTCAGCCTCCCAAGTAGCTGGGATATCAGGCATGTGCCACCATGCCCAGCTAATTTTGTATTTTTAATAGAGATGGGGTTTCACCATGTTGGTCAGGCTGGTCTCGAACTCCCCACCTCGGGTGATCTGCCCGCCTCAGCCTCCCAAAGTGCTGGGATTATAGGCATGAGCCACTGAGCCTGGCCAGGCTTCTTTCCTTAATATCAGATGGCATATCCAGTTGCCCACCCTTCATCTCTCTTTGAATGTCCGATAAGTGTCTCAAACTCACCATGTTTGAAACTATATTGATGTTTTTATCTGTCCCGGACAAACATGCCCCTTTCAGGGCCTCCTCAATTGAGTGCACAATGCCAACCACTTGCTCAAACCACACACACACACAAAATGAAACAAAACTACAGTGGTAATTTTTGGCTGCCACCTTCCTCAACCTTACCACCAACTTGGTTTCTTGTGGTAAAACTTGACTTTCAAACCATGAACCACCTTTTTTCACTGAAAACTTTTTTTTTTTTTTTTTCTAATTTTTTGCCATGTTCATCAAGATGTGCTGGGAGATACACAATCCTGAAAAAGGTCTGCATGGGATAATGCTTATACAATCCTGGTTTCACATCCTGCTCCCAATAGTAACCTTTTCATGTTTTTAAAACCTGCTACTGCTTATTTAAATATTAGCTATTAAAAGTGTGTGTTTGTGTATGTATGTACATAATGTATTTATCACATTGCACTGATCTTGATGAATATTAGGAAAGACATACTTTTTCTGTTTGGCAAAATGATTGCATGGTTCTGTCATCCAAATAATGCTTCACCATCTTTTCTGAGGCATTTTCTTTGCCAAACGTTCGTTTAGTATGACCTATTGTGTTTGAGAGATGTCATACTTCACAGAGTCATTGTGAGCACTGACACCTCATTTGTACGATGTGTATCTGTAATGGGACATGGCAAGGCCTTCTGGTGGTAGAGCATTTTGGTTCCAGTCTTGGTCATCTGAGGACCTGTGGCACAGCACAAAGCCACAGAGTGCAATGACAGAACGTTTATAATGAGAGTGTAGAGCAGCAACTCAAAGTAAACTTTTGTTAAATAAAGATTCATAGACCATATGATATATTTGTAAGAGTGCATATGTGCTTGCTAGTAGACAATTTTAGTCAGTCCTTTCAGGGATGAGCCTTCAGCTCTACCCTTGAGAATTCTGCTGAAGATGCTTAGGAAAGATGTGATCACCAGGTAGGAAGATAAGAGACACTCTATAGGGGACTTGCACATCACCAGAAATCCTGGCTTTTTTCAACCTACCCATACTGTTTAGAGTCAAGTAAGCCACATTTTGTGGAGCTGTTCAGAACTGAAATATTTCCTGCATTAATCATATATGAAAATGAAGTATATTTTAACTGAAGAGAAAAAAATAGGGCAAAATAAAAACATTTTGGAATTAATGAAAGAAAGAAAATCTGAGAATTTGCCATCTTTAGGCCCTCACTATAGGAAATACTAAAATATTTGTCAGTAATGTGAGCCGAGATGGAAGATGTGAAAAGCAAGAAGGAATATGATAAATTTACAAAATCATTATGACATGAGTTTAAGATATATTTGAAATAAATAATAGGAAGGTATATGTTGGGGGGAGGTAAATGTATTCGAAAGATTCTAAAGACCGTCTATTGTCAGGGATGAGGATTTCCTGAATAACTTTAAATTTTGATAAGAAAGGAACGAATGCTTGGATTTCTGGGGCAATCACTACAGAACAGAAACACAGGATATAAACTACAAACTCACAGAGTGGAAGAAATGGAAGGGGAAAAAATATGTAATCAATCCAAAAGAAAGTAAAAGAAGAAACAGAATATGCAGAACAAATACAAGGCATAAAATAAGATCATAGATTTAAACTCAACTTTTAAAACCCCAAGTCACTTAGTGTATGAACAAAATGTAAATGGACTAAGTGATTCTTTTAAGAATGACAGATATAAAAATATCTAATCATATTATTATTATATTTAGAGACCTAGTCTTGCTCTGTCACCAGGCTGGAGTGCAGTGGTGCAATCTCGGCTCACTGCAACCTCCCCCTGCCGGGTTCAAGCCTTTCTCCTGCCTCAGCCTCCCGAGTAGCTGGGACTA